ATGCCTATCTGTTCACCTTGGTGTACAATCAGTGGTTACAAGTTATCCAAGTTATGCAAACATTTCCTGCTGTTGCTGCTTGACATTAACCAGCAAGATGCAAAGATGGTCTCACTTTAGCATCGGGGCTGCTAGACAATAAGCATTTGTCAGTTCGACCACATGAAAAAATCTGTACTATTTGGTTTTAAATGAAAGAAAAAATATAAGTAAGTAAGTAAGGTTTATTTATTAAGCGCTTTTTTGTAGACAGGCAGTCACAAAGCGCTGTACACACAGGTTAAAATAAAGAAAACATTAAGTAATAAGATAGACAATATAAACAAATATATAACAAACATATAAATGTAAAATAATTTGTTTGAAGTGATGCAGGGAAGAATAGTTGTGAAACAGCCAAGTGAGCTGAAAATGTCTGGAGCAGACAACAAAGTCAGGAGTGGCTGAGCTAAAGCGCATCACAAAACCATTTTTTTATTCATTTGCACACACATTCGGATAATCTCTAATGTTTAAAAAGTTTGACGAAACATGTGATTCCAGTTGGACTTTGAGATTGTGTACAGAATCCTGAAAAGCGTGAGAATTTTAGACATTTTAGAGTAGAATTTTGCATGAGTGCCTCGTGTCCGCAGCATGTGTTTCAGGTGTTTTCCTTTAACACTTTGCTGAGTTAAAAAAGCTAACAGCATTTTAGCTCACAGACTGGGGTGAAGTCTGAACTAAACCAATGCATTGGAACAAAAAGGCCCTGTGTCTGACTTGTAGTTAAACATTTGCCACCAGGAGGCGATGTGCGATGAAGATATGCCTGCTGTGTTCCAATATTTCACTAAGGTATCCTCACTCCCCGCCCCTGCCTCTTCCCTTCTGTTCTCTGGTTTAGTTTACTCTGTGTAATGTATTTTTCTCTCGGCAGGAGGCGCTGTGTGAGGAGGAGTCAGGGGGCCTGGATCCAAAGGACCCCAACAGGCCCAGATTCACCCTGCAGGAGCTGAGGGATGTCCTGCATGAGCGGAATGAGCTAAAGGCCAAAGTGTTCCTGCTGCAGGAGGAGCTGGCCTACTATAAAAGGTACATATAGGTGTTAAACATGTTAATATTGACAATTACCCACCTCCTGTGGAGAGAGATCTTTACGAGCTGCACAAAACGGTGTTTATCGTGCGCTTAAAGCATCAACAGGATTTAGAAGTTTGTTTTCTCAGTCAGACCACACAGGGCCAGCTTCTTGCTGAGTGCTTTAAGTTGCTGTTTCCTCATTAATATATGTTACAATTGCACTTATTTGTAGTTGTTTTCAGTTTAATTATTATATTCTTTCATGTTTATGCTCTGTTACTTAGCACTGTTAAATTTTAGCCTCGTGTTTCTTGTACTGTTATCTCTGCTTTTACTTCAACTTTCAGACTTTTGTTTATGTGCTTGTGAAGCCTTTTTGGCCGTAAGATTATTATTATACTTTGGCAAATTAGGTTATTGGTGTCCACCTATATCATAAGTATGGGTGGAGGGACTGAGTAAAGAAATATTCAGTCCCTCCACAAGGGATAGACATTTACTATGACTTGTTGTGGGATGATGAAGAGAAAAAAAGACATGCATGAAGAAGCCATAAAGAAACCATATGCATTTCCCAATTAAGATGTATTGCTTGATGTATTCTTAGTTTTAGACATTGTTTAATATTTTTCTTGGAGGGTTGCTCACAACCAACACAAGTTGCCACAGAGCTTTAAAATCTGACTAACAACCCATTTAAATTCTCTAAAGCATATTTTTTGTTCCCTTTTTTCCGCACATCTTTTGGTCATCCTTCTGCCAGCACATTAAGTTAAAAATGTATTTACTCCAAAAAAATCCCACTTTTTATATCTAATTCTTTTTGTCCATCTTTTTGTCCAAGCCTGATATGTTGTGCTTCATAGACAAAGTAATCCTGATCTCTGTAATTCTGGTTGTCTCTGTGTTTGTAGTGATGAGGCAGACGAGGAGATTGGAACTCCATCTTCTTCTCCCTCCCCTGAACTGAGGACTCGCTCCCGCTCTTCTGCCCAGCCAGAATCGGGAATCAAACGCCTGTATGTGGAGCTCACACTCACACAAATACTCTCACTCATGTAACATCTGCTAATGAAAACACTTGCCTGTGAAAACCTTGCTTCCTGTGATTAATGGGAACTTTGCATGCTGTGAGTAGCGGTTGATTATTTGGTCTCTACATGCTCAGTCATTTGCATATTACATGCTTGTTCTTGTCTCTTCAGCAGCAGTGCAAGACGCTGTTTCAGGCTGGCAGCTTTAGCTTTAGACTTCGCTTCCCTCGTGTGATACCATATACTATATATACTTTACTTTACAGAGGTAGCTGGGCTACTAACAAGTAAACATACATTTATCCTGTGTTTGTCAGCCATGTACAAACTGGAGTCTGTGGTTGTTTCCAATTAGCTGTCACATTGTGACAAGGACTCAAGACTAAAAGCAGCTCCAAGTATTCTAATTGTAGGACACTTTACTATTTTATTAACGTAATATTTAATTGAATGTCTTTTTTTTAGTGTTGAGAATTTTTTAATGAAATTGTTTACCTGTTAATCTGTGTCTCTGTATAGCTCTCTGATACAGAGTACATATCATTCCTGTAAGTCCTGTGACTGTATGAGGGTAAATATTTTCATGAATGTAAAACTAAAAGTATTCAAAATATAAAACAATTGTTTTCCAAAAACAATAAACAGACATTATTAGATTAGGGTGATATCAATAAATGGTCATTTTTACAATATTTTTTAGTATTTAAAAACATGTTCTTTGTATTTTACCATGCATTACATTATTTATACGAGGTGGCTGTGCCTCAGGAGGAAGAAATGATTCAATCCCAGGCTGCTCCAGTGTGTGTGGCAGACTATTACAAGCTTTCTGGTTAAGTTTTTTTAAATTAATTCTATGGCAGCTCTGTCAGTGTGCACAGTAGCAAGTGTAAGTACAAGATTTGGGACATTAATTAAATGTATCAGGAGGTGTCGCTATACCAATATGGTGGCAACATTAGCAGCAGTTTGCATGTTTATACAGTTTATCTGTGCAAACTAAGTTGCATTCACTGTGTTTTGGTTTTTAACATGCTGTGAGTTGTTCTTGGATTTTGTTGTATTTTTTAATTCAATATCATAATTTTATTTTCCTCTCTGGTTTAAAATAAACTCAGCTTGACATCTTTTGAGCTTTAATGAGGTTTGGTTCAGACAGAGGTCAACGGTTGATGTGGTCCTTGTCCTCCCCCATCCCCTATGTATGTGTGTTTTCGTGTCTTTACCTCTGTGTAACAGGATCTTCACCGCTATAATGCCGATGGTAGCGGCTGGTTTGATCCCAGATGACCCCACTTTACAGCCAATCAGACGCCTCATGTCACTTGTATGACTCTATATTTGGTTGGCTTTGCAATCCATCACTGTCTCAGCTAACAGGCTTCACCCCCTTTGCATGTCCACGGGGTTGCTTTCTTTTCGCACCTTTGTAGTATTCTGATTGGCTGATTGTGGGGCTGTCTTATTGTGTTCGTCGAATGAGACGACCAAGGATCGTGCAAAAAATAAATCAGCCAGTCAGAATAGTGTGTAGTCTAATGTCTCAACTTTTGCCCTCACTGACCATCCTGACTGACCATGCGCACTAAAAATGATTGTGTGGAATTTACAATATAAATTGATCTAAAGTGCTTTTAGATCATAGCTAGGGATTAATTTAATTTTTAATGCTTTAATATTTTATCATCTGCCCGGATCAATTTACAGAAAATGACGAAATAATTTCTGCTACAATTTATGAATTTTTACAATAGTGTATTAGGGCAGGTGAAGAGGAAAAAGGGGCTGGGTAAGAGGGGGTAAAATGACAGAGAACTTTAGAGATGAAAGTAATAGGTTCATGAGGGAAAAATCGCTGAAAAATAGTGTCTGTGTTTTGTAGTGATGAATGCAGCACATCACCTCACTTGACAAGGTTAAATTGGAAAGAAAATTACATATTGGAATTAAGGGGACGTTTAAATGAGCAGAAATTTACTTCAATTCCTATATAGTTATTTCACCTTAAGTGGTTTGTAGAGTTTTGTGTTAATTTGAATGAGGGTTACAACAGAACTTGACATATGACAAAAGGAAAACAATCCTGTTGACATTAGAAGTGTTCAGATTAAGAGAAACCAGTTTTAAGTGTCAGGAGCAGATATCCAAACAAAACGACTGGTGTAACATAGAGACATTTGTTTACACTAATTTTACAGAAGGTGTTGTAATTAAAAACTAAAATAATTCACTTGTGATGCATTCTGTTAAATTTGCCATTACTCTAACACTGCTTTACATGTAGCTCATACTCAGTGTTAGCCCTACACATGGAGTTGTAACCCACCGCCTGTTTCTTCTCTCCGTTCTCTCGTCTCAGGTTTAGTTTCTTCTCACGTGACAAGCAGCGGAGCTCGCAGCGCAGTGCACATTTCGATGTCGGCTTCGGCTCGTGGGCAGGCAAAGACGACGTGTACACCGAACAAGCCCAGGAGGCGTTGCAGCACATGTAGACACCGTATGGGACTTAAAACTCTTAACACTCCCATCATTCAACTGCACACCAAACCAACACTAGCAACTCACACTGCAGCTGAAATGCCATGTACATGAGGTGAGAAGATGGCAAGAAACAAGAAGAATCTAATGTCCTTGGAAAAAATACTGTGTATACTTCAAATTCTGCCATTTAAAAAAAAAAAAAATCCCTGAAAGTGTTTTACAGGATTGACGTGCAGGCGAGAGGGTAAACTCAGGTTGACTGTGGAAAGTGGAATTTTTTGGCAGGTGGTAAATGATAAGGAGCCGGAGGTCCGGAGTAAACAAGGGGGGAAATGACTGCACACCTGAGTGTCACTAGTTTTTTTTAATGAGAGCAACATTTTAATATCCCATTTAGTTATTTCAAATTTCTGTCAAGTAGGCAGCTAATCAGTCCATCACCAGCGTTTTGCAAGTTGAGTATGCAGCTCTATGAAATCTAATTGAGGCCTCTGTTTAAATGTTGCATGCAGTCACAATTTAAAGCTGTGTGAAGGTGTGAAGATATTTTGTTCTCATATTTAATGCAGCAGTTTCTGTGACTAAAAAGAATGAATGCATAAACACTTGGGTATGAGAATTTAAAGTACTCGTGTAAAGTGAAAGTTAGATTTTGGCCATCATAATCCCAATTTGTCTTTGCATTTTTACCCATTCATCATAGTTTTTACTATCCTATTACAGGATGGTTTAAGCATTTTAGCATTTCATGACATCTCCTATAATGTTGGCTACATGTTGTATGTAGCCAAATAAGCAACATTGTGGCTTTAATGTTGAATTAGTGAGTCATTAATTCACATATTTGTACTTTTTAAGTCAATGTTTGCAATATTCCATCATTTCATGGTAATATAAAAGCTTTGACATGGTGAATTAGTTCATTATAAAACGTTTCCAGTTTTATTTAAGTCAACTACTACTGATGAATTATTTTACATTTTTTACTCACTCATCATGGTTTAGTATAAATTTAACACCTGACTTAATAATTTCTTGCTTTTATGATCTGAAAACCGTAAATGAATGTAATGCATTTGACTAAACAAATTACAAATTAAATTGTAAGATTTAGCCCGTTTTATTTATTAGATCTTTATAATACTAGTGATCTTTTTATAGATTAAAAGTTGTAAATCATAGCTTGAGCTTTTTGTTCATTGCTGCAATTTTTTTATTTTCTTTTAGTCAATCTAATTCTAATTTATTAACTTAATAATGATGTATTGTCTCATAATTTTGACATAGTAAGCTCTTCACCCACTATAGTTTTGACTTAGTATCTCTTTATTTTGTTCGAGAAATTAGTATATATTTATGTTTGTGATGCTTCTTTTTTCTTTTCATGTGCCCCTTTTCTCTAACAATTAACACAGATTTCTCTTTTGTGAAACAGAGAATAGCTGTGCCATGGGAATTCCCCTAATATTTTACATACAAACTTACATTTGTCATAAAGTCTGATTTCACGCTTTCAGTGACAAACGTGACGCTCCACACTGTGCTCATGCAAACCTGCAGTTTTGTAACACCAGCCAAACCATAGCAGGCAATAATAAATTACATCTATATGATTCTGTTTAATTTCTATAATCAAACATAGACCCGAAGAGACAGTGTAATATTGTATTTGAATCACTTATAACAAAAACATACAGCAGCTTTCACTTCAAATAAAAGCAAAATAAATTAAAATGTATTTTAATTAATACATATTGTGCCATCAGTAAGAGCCTAAATCTTACATTACATTTGCACTTTTTCCCTAGATAAAATATTCATATTCAGCATAAGCAACAATAATAACCCCGAATATCATCACACATGTGCAAAATAGAAATCAGTGCGTTTGTGTTTATATGCATCATTTATACAAGGCCTCAAATTTAAACACGAATCAAGGCTCTGTTTAGAAACAGTGTAAGTCATGAAGGATGAATTATTTCTCAGATTGTGCATGGTTTAAAATAATAGTAATTAAGCTGAAGAGTGTGTTTACATTTATTTTTAAAAAAGACTATTTTGCGGATGGTGCTTGTGCTTTAACAGCTGATGCCTTCATGGAAACGTTAACAGTAGTGGCACTTTATCTTCATTTATACTCACCCAGGAAGGTGGAATAAATGAATGGCAAATGAAAAGATTGAGAAATGAGGCTAAAGACGTGTGTCAAAGCAGCTTTCCCCCTTTTATGAAATCACAGATATGTTAAAGAGAAACTATATTTTACATGTTATTTGGAAGTCAAAGGGATCTGCTCAATTTATTCATGAAGGAATTAAACAGTGAAATATTTTAAGGGAAATGAACTGCTACCCGAGTGCTCACTCCAATCTTCATTTTTTTCCTTTGAGTCTCCTATGAAGCCCATTAAAGTGGAGATTTAAGAGATATATTGAATGGATCAGTGCTTTATGAAATTCAAACATGTCACATCAGTAATAAAAATCTGTAATATTTGACATTTTTGCACGTGTTTTTTTTTGTTGTTGTTGTTTTTCCTAACTTGCATAACAGATCGCAGTCACGTTCAAGTGTTTGATTTGTTCATAATTGTAAAAGGAAATGGGCAAGGGAACATACATTTGTAAACAAAGAACATCCAGTGTGGTAAAATAACTGGTGTGGGGAAAAAGTTTAACTACATTAATTTTCCTCTGTCTCAATTTAAACATAAGGCACAAAGCAGTGTATTTGGTTGAAATTCCATTGTACAGAATATATCACCTTTTGCACTTATGTAACAATTTAGAAATCAGGTCTATATGAAGAAGACTAAATATGAAACATAACAGAAAGCACAGCAGTAGTCGTCCAATTCACCAAAAAAAGGATGATTTTATTTATTTATTTAAGATGCTGGGTTAGTGTGGAAAGTTGTGACAAGAAGAAATATGATTTATCTCAATTAGATGATGATAGCATGGTGGAACAGGGGTTAATACCGTCGCCTCACAGTGAGAAAGTCCTGGTCTCGTTTTGATTCCAACCTGGGGTTTTGCTGTGTGGAATTTGTGATTCTAAATTGACCTTGGCAACCTGTCCAGGGTGTACTATAACTCTCGCCCTGTGACACCTGAGATAGGATCCAGCCCCAACCCTAAATGGACAGATGGCGTGGTGCAGAGTGCCCTCTGGTGAACAAACTATACAACAACCCTCATGGTAGAAAAGAGTTCTTCCCATCTTTTTTTTTTTTGAATTCTCATTTATTCAAAACAGTTTTAAGCATTAACGTACTTCTTTCTTTTAATGGAAGAACAAATCAGATGCCCAAGACGTTTAATTTGCATATTACATCTTTATTAAACAATGCCTAAAACCCCAGCATCAAGATTTAATCAGCGCTACAACAGCAAAGATCTATCATGCCCTAAAAAACAGCCAACAGGTTTGTTTTGCCCCTCAACTATTATTGCATTAGTTCCACATAGACAATGGAATAATCCAGAGTGGAATATCTCTGTCAAGAAAGGCTCATATGAAAACATTTCATACACAATGCTACTGGTAGAGGGAGTAGAGGAAGGTGTATCCTTATGTATTAAACACAGTGCATCACTTAAGATGTACTTCGTCGGATACACGTGACTGGGCTATTTATTATTAACACTGGGTTGTTGTTGTTTTTTCCTTTTGCATTTAAATAATATTAACAAGAACAGAAATCCAAACATTAAATATACTGAATATTTTAAGAATAACTTAGAGAGCTGGATTTGTTGTTGTCTTTTGGAAATCTCCATAACCTCGACAGCTGTACAGACAATAAGAACGTAGAGAAATTGGTGCAAAAGGTACAATATACTGTTTAGCTGGGTCATTTTTAAACAAAGCTGCTACAATCAGGTAAGAAATTAAAAAAATAAAATAAAAGGCTTAAAGAAATAGTTCAACATTTTAGGAAATTGTGTTTCATTTGGAGTTTTGCTGAGAAAAATCAATACAAGTCATATCTGTACAGTTAACATGAATTTGTCAGGAACTGCTTAGTTTAGCATAGCAGAAAGACTGGAAACAAGGGAAACAGTAGCCTGGCTATAAAAATAAATTTAAAAAAAATATACCACAAAGATATTTTAGAGTGTAATTTTGGGGAATATGAGCAAACAAAACAAAACAAAAAAAATCACAATAACTATGAAACAGAAAAAACACAACATGTACCTAGTTAGTTACAGCTAAGTAGAGATTTTATAAGAGAAATATGGCACCATGCCAAACACCCAAAAACAAAACAAGATAGCAGACTTGATTCTAGAAGAACTTTTAGTTTGTTTTGTGCAAGTTTTAAGCTTCAGTAATGTGTACAGGACACAGGACAACTTACAAGGGGAATGAATTCATCCTTCTAAAAGCTAGGAGGCTAAAGTTGCTAGTCAAGCTTGGCTGTGGTGCCTGTCTCTATAATGGATTTCATGGTTTCATGAGTACAAGCTCCCTCATATATCACATACTTTTAATGTATTTAAATAGTTTATGAGTTTATTAGGCTTGGTAAAATTGGTGAAGAAAAGTAATGAATAATTTATTTTTAATGTCTTAAAAAAATGAGCTAGCTAAGCTTAGCCACTCACTGAATTGAATTAAATGAGCTTTAGTCTAAATGAAATGACAGCATTTCAGTTTATTTAATTCATGATTAACTTGTTACGGTTGAAAAAGCTGAATTAGACCACATGTTATTTAGGTACAAATGTTTGCAAGGTTGAGTCAACACAATATATAACATCCCAGTCTGTGGGCTTGACCTTTGGAAGCAGCCACAGGTCATACATGGTTTCTCTCACTTTCAGTCTTTGCATGAAACTAGGCTAGTCTTCTTGAACTCTCAACTAGACAATAAGTAAGAGCTAGGGTGACCAGATGCCCTCTGCATGTGGGACTGCACTGCAATTTCATTCCTTGTCCTCCTGCCCCACATCTTGAGACAATGCCCCACATTTTGACTGGTTCACACTTTTCTAAAGTATGGCTTTGATCAAGCACACGTTTATTATAGTCAACTGAAGCTTAGCCCATCAGTTCAAGTTACCAAAACATAACAAGCTTTGCAGCAGTATATTTTGAGTAATTGACATGTCTTTTTTTAAATTTATTTTTCAGTTTCACACAGGAGAAAATATGGTGTGAGGTGGCACAGTATGCATTTGTGTATCCCAACTGTCTTAAATTTGCGCTAGTAAGAAGGGCAGCTTCCGTTTCCTTTTATTCTTCTTGTATTTACAAGAGAGCAAGAAAGCCAGAAAAGTTGCTTTCAGATATCTTGGACTGCCTCCCTGCATTATCCTGTCCTACTTTGTCCCACATAAACACTGTTTGTCACACTTTTTTTTCTGAGATCTGGTAACACTGTGTCTTTAAACACAGGCCCCGATGGATCCCCCCCGACTAAAACCATAATTAAAACTACACAAAATAAAAATAAATGAAAACCAAATAAAGTATAAGTCTGAACTACTACTACAAACGATGGGTAAGCAGATCATGTGTACACCATTTTAAAACCACTGCATCAGTGCGATGAAAAGCATCAGTGGCAGCTTGAGTACGTTTAAACTCATCCAACTGGAACTAAACTCTATCATCATTTTCACACACTTGCAGAATAACCCACAACAAACAACGAACTATGCTGTTAATTAACTACTTGTATTTGTACCACAGAGTTCTGTTGTTACTGATAAACTGCTAAAGAACATAAGTGCGTCAGACTGTGGGACTGGGTGACATGTTTGTTCATTACCATAAACACAAATGCATGATCTAATCCTGTGCTGTCCTCACTAGAACACCAAATGCGGATTAAGCTGCCAATTAACACAGTGTGTAACCAAGCCTGATTGTGTTTCTGTTGTTTAACTTGTTGAGCTTTACCCATTTATAACACACTACACTGTTAGGAAGGGGTCAGCTGTTATCGAGTTGGCTTTTTGTTGTCCACTGATTTGCATAAGCACTGTTCATTATGGATATATATGCAACAACAGCAAATCTGTTGGCAATTGAGCTAATAAATTTGGAACATCTAAGAAGAAAAGCCATGCAGTTGTTGTGAGACTGTTTTATATGTGTACGTAAATAGAAACTAATGGAGTTCACAGTCAAAAACTGCTTGTGTGTATTTTTTAAAATACATTCATTTTCCCATTTTACTGTGGGTTCAATAAGACTATGATGTCTGTATGTTGAAACAGGAATCTACTGATACTGGAACTGAATCACAGTTTATATTTACCAAAAATCGTGAAGATTTGGCACATAAACAAACTCTTTCATTGGTACCTGTACTGCACCCTGTTCATTACAAGAGCACACACCCTTCTGGCTGGTTTTCAACTTTAGTTTCACCAGTAAAGCAAATTTAAACTATTCTCCATCCAGATGTGTGTTTAAGCGATCATTCAGAAGCAAATACTCTAATAATGCTAACAGTGGTGTAATATTACAGTAATAAGCAGATTTGACCTCCCCGGGCCCCTGGGCTCTTCAAACCATGGCACAACTTCTCTATAATTGACAGTAATGACAGATTTGATAGTCCAAAAATTCAAAATGATATTTCAGCTAGGAGTTTAATTTTAAGGCAACGGGTGTAATTTGTCTGATAAAACCTTTATGAATAAAACTGAGAATTTGCATTTTAGCCTAACCATCAACATTTTCTCTCCCCTCTTAAATTAATGCAACTGCAAGTATAATGCATTGGATTTAAGCTCAGGTGTCCGCTCTCAAAAAAGGTGATCAGATTGACATTTTGCATAGACAGGAGAGTTTGATCAATCTTCCCATTAAGTCTCAGCAAAAACTAAAAAAAAATACAACATAATTCCCAAAATGTCACAGTATTTCTTTTGAAACAATATTTGGATTTGTAACAGCAAGCAAATAAATATATTTACAAAGTGCAGCACCACAGACAGTGTCGTCATCAGTGGGAGAAGTTATAATTAAGTGAAACTAAACAGATGAGATAATCGTGTGTGCCAATTGAGGTTAGAGAGAGACACCGAAACTATTACTTGCATGAGCGAATCATCTCTTCGAGTCACACAGAATATTCTGTAGGTTTTCCCAGATACTTTTCGTTTTAATTTTTAAAATTTACCACATACTAACTCTTTGTATATGGCATGTTTAATATTATAAAATACAATCTATGCTAAAAAATAAACATTCATAACAGTAATTTCCATATTCTAATGTAATCTTTTCCATGATCAACACAAAGTATTTCATCCAGTGTCAAAACATGTGATCTTTTTTGGTAACCAAAACCCTGAAACGCCAAATAAACCGTGAACGTGATAAACTATTCTACCCCACTGAACAATGAGTGTGAGGTCCGATTGCTGAAAATAGATGCCCCTTGAATAGAATACATATCTAAAAAGAGTTTGTAATTTGCATCTCATAGTTTCTGCTGATTCAAAAAGGGGAGCAAATACAAGTATTGCCAAGTATCTACGTACTAATTAAAAAAGCTGTATAAAAATGCAGAGCATCAACTACTACCTGCATGCTGTAGAAGCACTACTCTATAGGTAATACAAAATGTACAAAACAAATGTGCTGCAAAACAAAAGAATGTTTCTGAAACACGCATAAATAAAAAGTACAGATAACATCTGACAAGGCAGATGGACCTTAGTTGAAATGTGATATGAACCCAATCAGCCCCCATGACCTGGACCCATAAATGTCTACTAAACCCTCACACACCCCAGCTTCCTCATTATTGAAACAAACAAAAAAATAGTACACATTCTGTTTCTAAGGCCTTTTGTACACTAGCTAATGAAAAAACAAGTCTTACTGTACGTTTCCCTTTACTTTTTCTCTGGACCTCTTAATCAATATTTAAGCCAGGGGTGAGCAGCGATGGAAGCTTTGCTGCGGTCTCCATAGTCATAAAGCAGCTCCTCGCCTTCGTCAATATTTCGAGAGGCGATGAGAATGAGGTGAGGGACACCGTTGATGTCGTGCAGTTTGGTTTGGCAGTTCCCATTTTTACTGTGATTTATCAACCTACCCATTCGACCAGTCTCTTTTGTAGCATCCACACTGTTGGCAGAAACACATACATTTACATTGGTGTTCGTATTAGAGGTTGTTTAATATACATGGTAAATGGCCTGTATTTATATAGCGCTTTACGAGTCCCTAAGGACCCCAAAGCGCTTTACATATCCAGTCATCCACCCATTCACACACACATTCACACACTGGTGATGGCAGCTACATTGTAGCCACAGCCACAGCGCACTGACAGAGGCGAGGCTGCCGGACACTGGCGCCACCGGGCCCTCTGACCACCACCAGTAGGCAACGGGTGAAGTGTCTTGCCCAAGGACACAACGACCGAGACTGTCCAAGCCGGGGCTCGAACCGGCAACCTTCCGATTACAAGGCGAACTCCCAACTCTTGAGCCACAATCGTCCCACATACACAATATGTTCGCAAGACAGCATTTACATTTTCACATTAAATACTGAATTGTTTTCAGTGACCATATTAGCTGCTATGCTAATGTTTCATTTTCATTAAAAGAATAAAACAAAAAAATTGAAATTAATAATTTGTCCTATCAAACTGGTGGCTTTGGTTTCATAACTTAATATAACACAAATTCCAAAATGTCCAATGAGTGTTCATAGAATCCCAGAGAAGTCTTTTCTTCCTACCAGTATGTTTTGCAGAGGTACTGGAAGTAGTACATGTAGCAGCCGGTTGCTGGATTTTGAGCATATTCGGCTTCTCTCTTTTTAGCATCGGTGATCTGTAGCAGGTCTCCGTGGTATTCCACCACATAATCGCCTTTCTGGAAACACCGAGTGGCAAACACCGCTCTCCCTTTTCCTTCTATGTATTGCACCTACAAAAACAGTACAAGAGGCTTTCTGTGGTGACACAGCTTGGCAAAGTAAAGGTTCTTCAGTAAACATATGAACAATGTACAATTTGAATTTGGTCACTCTGAGCCTTTTTGCGGGCTTCATATTCAAATTATTTCTTAAAATAAGACATTTTTGTATGAGAACATGACTGAGTAAAATTTAAGGATTTTTTAAAGGTCTACAGTAAATCCTCATTTACAACGACAATAAGATTTTTCCTTCAGATGAAGAAAGAAGAAACAAAGAAAATTCAACGTACCTCCATTCCTTCCTCTATTCCACTTGTAATGAGATCGTCTATGAGCTTCTTTTCTTCGCACTGGTAACAAAATGGAACATGAAACAGGCCAGACCAGATTTCTCTTCATACACAGAGTCATGCAGCGGGGGTAATAGTTATTTAATCCTCAGATCTCTCGCAGTGCTTGCGAACAAGGGTTTCTCTATCAAGTGCCAACTCATCTTTTGCTTGGGGATCAAATACTTTCATTCCATAACAAATCAATGGAAATCAATTTTATTTTTTATGTTTTTGATAAATATTAAGTCTCTCTCCATTAAAACAAAACCACCATAAAAATTAGAAACTGTTCATTTTGTAGGTGAGCAAACTTATAATTTAAGCAGGGCTCAGATAACTATTACCGGTACCCCCACGGTACATCCACATTATTAATAAAAAGTATATTTCCCTCAAACACAGTCAGAGCACCACACAAGTGCAAACATAAAGACAATGTTTTTGGCAATACTAAACATGCTATGAGAGTATATGTTAGGACAAAGCTTTTGTCATGAGCATTCTTAAAGATACAGCTAAGGTCAAAACTCCACCTTTGAACTTTATCTACTCTTAGAAAATCTGCACTTGTGGAAACTGTCCACCAGAATTTTCCATTCGAGAAAATTTTTACTTAGCAGTGACACTTTCATCAGTCTGAGAACCAATCAGTTAAGGTCTTCTGACTCCAACTTCCTGTTCTGTTTGACAGTTATTGTTCACAAATTTTGATCAACCGAAAAAACAAGAACTAACAAACACACACAAAAAGGCTATATCATCATAATGTATCCAGCCATAGCCTAAAAATACAGGTACACTATAAACTAAAAGCAGATTCTAGTATGTTGCATCTTACCTACAGGTACTAAACACTCATATTCAGATATGCTTTTGTAGAGAATATCTTCTAATGGTGATTTGTATACATTTAAAAACATTTTTTATATCAGCTAATTTCAGCCCTTACTCTGACATTCAGTGACACCACAAACAATTCAGACCTGCTCTTGTGTCAAAGTGTGGAGTGGGGGTGGGAGTTGCACATAATTGTCACAAAGACAAAACAGGTTTTGGCTGAGGGCAAACACTTTAATAAGACCCATACTTTTCCCACTTCTCCAAATAAAACCACTTCAATATCGAATAATATGAACACCTATGCCTAACTACCTATAACATATGTTGTAGTACATTATGAAATAGCCTTTTTTCTTACCTTGAGCTCCGTTTTACTTTTTCTTGAACTTCGTCTTACTGGATAGAAGTCAGTAACTTTCCGGTTTTGGGAATTTCCCCCTCCTGCCCTATAGTAAATAAACACATTGCAACATCAACAACTATTATACCCATTCAGCCTAATGATAGGCTATTACAGCACTGCACCATTTATTACCAAGAGGCATTTGAACTCCTTCATGGATAGGTGCCATATTCATTCAGGCCAAAAAGGGAAAAAAAATTTCTTTGGATTTAGAGGACCAAGGATCAAACTACTGACCTTCCAACTGAAAAGCCTCCCCCTAACCACATTTAGACACTCGGTGGTGATGGTTTAACTTATTATTATATAATATAATATTATAGTATAATATTATACTATTAAACAATAGTCTATTAATCAAGATTAGCCAGAAGAAAGTCTGTTTAATCAAATTAAGCCCATCTAGCCAAACAGAAATTTGGCTGTCAGTGAAAAACTACAGTCAACATCAGCAAGACATTCAATTTATTAATGGATCACTTGGCTTTTGAGATCAAATCTGACCTTGAGCCAACATTCTTCTAACTAAGGTTAGCCAAGTCCTTGTAGGCTCTTCAATGTAATGTCTAGGATTTTCTGTAGCAAAATTTCCCTTGAGTGGATAAGACTGGCTCGTTCATCCAAGCTACCAGGGCTGATTTAGTAATTTAACTGTCAATTTTTACATTTCTTCATCAACCAACATTACCAGACTAAAACTTACCACATATACAGTATTCTAAGTAACTAAGTCACAGCTAGTTGGCTTACCACTAGTCAAGAAAACACTGGAAGATTTAGACCAAATATTTTAAAAGTCTAACATTATGTACAAGTTAGTCACCAAAAACACATATAATACATTATGCAAAAGAGTTCAGACTATAACTATATTCCTTATATAGTGTCCATGTGGTTATCTAGTGTGTAGCTCTTGTGAGTTAACGTGTTTACAAGAAAATGTAGTAATTAAGATATAAATTCACTTACAAAGGTGCTCCAAAACCTAATCAGACCACCTTATCCATACATGGTATCTGGGGTATGAACATGACATTTATACTATGTATGGTTCCTGTATACAAAAGGCAGCATGAGGGCACACTCTTCTGCATGTACCATGAGGAAAGGTCGTAAAAATGCACCAGTAATCAACACATACATTCTTCGAGTGGATTTCTTTCCTATGACCTTGACCCGGGCTCCCCTCCTCTGGAGGCCATGGAGAGCGCCGCCATTATTGGCATGTAGGGGAGTATGAGTTAAGCCATTGCTGAGGGGAAGGGAGAGTTCAGGATGAGAACAAAGGTAGGCTTCGGTGCAGTGGAGCTGCAGAGGTGATGGCTGTTCATCAGACCAGCAGGGTGAACACTGGCTGTAGCTGTTCTCCATCTCTGTGAAATCTGCCTTTGGGTCTTTCGTTGGAGTGCTGATGGTATTCATTGTCTTTCCTGAGAGTGAATGGAGAGAAACATCATCCTTAAGATTCAGACAAATCTTGTGCTTCTAGTTTCTCTCACTGGAAATTCTTACATGATATATATATATATATTAACAGGGATTCAGTTATTGTCCCATGGACTGTTCAACCAGCTCTCCTCTGCTGGCGATCAAACTGAAGAACTGGAGTAAACATACTCACCTTCTCCTGGCTTCTGGACATCATTCTGCAAGGACAAAACTGGAGAGCACTTTCCTTCCTGTGTCAACCTGATGGTAGGCTTTTCATCTTGAACTGATGATATGGAGTTGGTGCAGCTTAAGAGGGCGAATGAATGGCTGTTGCATACAGTGTCCTGTGAAAGGAGAGAAAGCTTGATCACTCTCTAGAATGATCCATCACAAAACATGGAGAGGAATCTAGAGGAATATTTGGGATAGTCCGTTTATAGCAACGAGACAAGCTGAGGCACATCTGAGTGTAAAAGATGTGCGACAGCCTCTGGTGGTGATTTAGTACCTAAAATGGGAGCTACTTCAACATCCCCCAACAAAGCACAGTACTTCTTCCTACTAAAGGTGGAAACAACAAGCTCAATTTACGATTTGAGGCAAAAAAAAAAGGACACCAAAAAGTAAGTAGGAGGAGATACTAGCAGCTGGTGATGTACAACCCTATCTGCTTGACGTGCACTATTATTGCTCTATAACTGAGGATTCATGCTTCAGCAGGAAATCCATGTAGTACCTATGTTGTAACTACAAACCCTTGGAAACCCAACACCGTAGTCTTTGCTAGAACCCGATGTGCAACTCCCTGGAAATATAATGGCACATCTCGCACAACCAAGCACTACTATTGCGATTGCCCTGTTCAGTACCACTGATTCCTCCTATACATGTCCACCTACTTTTTTGCCACATTTATGGAATTTATCAGTGAGACAATAACAATCATTGTCTCAATATATGATATGATGAGCTGTGTGCAAGCTGCGAGCACCAGTAAAATGTTAAGTATTTTTTTTCTCTGTTGTCAGAAATATCGTGGTATAATTGTGAGCCTATGCCCACCCGTAACTGAATGTGAAGCTTATATTATTGGAAAAGAAAGAAATATTAGAAACAAATAAAATGAGTGTAATGGCGCACAAAAACAAAAGCGGATCACCAATCCAAACCAAAATGCAAAAGGATTAAGTTGAATGAGTCACTCAAGATATGGCTCAGCTAATTTGTTGATAAGATGTAGCTTGTTTTCTTCTGTAGGAATGAAGCTGAAATGATGCAATCAACAAGAAGGGATAAGATCAACAGCCACTTTTACTTTGTCACGGTGAAAACAAAGTAAAAGTGGGGTGTGTTTTGTGGTAATTCTATTAAACTACTTCACTTGAAAATCTAGAGCTTGATTTGCATATTAAATGTAAATGAAATGTCTAAACACTAGAATACACACTGGAAAGACAATATTATAATCATGATAATAAAATATCAAGATGGGTGCCAAATGATAGAAAAAAAAAAAAAAAGGTGTACCATTAAGATTTTTACCAACCGGGCTAGAGATGTTTCTCTACCATTTTGAGACTCACTCTTCAAGTCCCATAAAAACTACTGGATGGACCAAACACCAGTTTTCTAAAAGAAATGTATTCATTTATTATTTAGAGAGAAGTCTCATAGGTCTGACCCAAATCACAAACAGGTATTCGATTAACTTGGGATCTGAAGACTGTGAAACCCAAAAGATATGACCCACATGACTTTCATCCTAAATAAACCCTTCAGTGAACCTTGTACCCTCAGGACAGAAGCATTGTCATCCTGGAAATTAGCATTCTTATCAGGGCAGAATGTTTCAACATAGGACGAAGGTGATCACTCACAGTAACTTTGTGCTCATTTAGAGCAGGGGTCTCAAACTTAAATGAGCTGTGGGTCACCGCTGGTACTGTCATCTCATTCGAGGGCCACATTAGTGTTCAGAGTAGTACAAAAACAAACAAACAAGAAAGCACCCACAAATATTTCCGAAAATTTAGTGTTTTGTTAGTTTTTAAAAAATTTTTCCAATATTGTATAACAAGACAAAACTGCAGAAGTCAACGCATTTTTTCATTACTCTTAACTGAAAGCCTTTCATTGAACTACCAAATAAACAAATTGGTGCTCTCTTTCTGGTGAGACACTTGAGTGATCTTATCCTCTGTCGAGAAGAAGTGTAGCTAAACAAATCCATCATAAATGGCCCCAAAGCATGACACACGCAGCGGATCGCCTCGTTGTAGAGGTAGGAGGTTCAGCTTTTCCTTTAATTTGTCACACACATTTATTTATATTTGTCACACACATTTATTTACATATGCGTGTAATTATTTTTCTATATTCATTGATTCCTTAATAGCTCTCCTCAATCTTATCATTTCATTCAGTACAAAACAGTCGCTACTTTCCACCAGTGTTGTGGGTGGGGCCTGGAAAAGGGGACCACGCTGGATCCACACCCACCTACACTCAGCAGTCAGCCCCTTTAAATCCAGAGTCAAGGCAGATAGGCCTCCTGACTCATTATCTCCCGATCACATCCATTCAAACCAAACCACGGAACTGATTTTAATCTATAAACCCCGCTCAAAAATAGAAATACAAATGCACGTATTTCGATCTCTTCTAACATCAGAAAATGCTGCCGTGTCCTCGGCTGCCAGACACATGCATGTAGCTTTCAGTAGCCAAAACAAGCACTCCCCAACAAAACAGCACCTCTGTAGCGAGTCTAACGACACTAACTTACAGAAAAAAATGCTACCCAACTGGGCTACAAGTATTAACTAAACACATTTCCACCGACAAGCACCTTAGTCTCAAGAGTTATCCCACTTTAGCTAGCTCTCCGTATTTAACCACAGTTAGGCTCGACGGCGATGACCAAACAAGCAAACTTACCCCGTTCATGTCCGACTTGTTTTCGTTGCTCCTCGCTCGGCACTCTCCTCTCGATTAGAGAAAAACACGAACAGAAAATCCAGTAAAAGGCTAACCTCGCCCTGCTCCTACAAAGGAAAGATGTCCCTTCACGTCGGCCGCTTCCACGGTGACTACGTGCCCTTCTGTTGCATTTAAACCTACAGCAGCTCAGCCAATACAGCCTCCACAGCTCCGCTCCGCCATCTTCCTGTCTGCTTGTAAATGAAGGAGAGGTGTGGAGGAGCTCCGGCGCCCCCTGCAGGTCCACAGCGACAGTACAATTATTGTGTGTTTTGTCTTTACGTTTTCTCTGGTTTTATTAGCCAAAATTTCGATACCTTTAGTGTCTGCCGCGCAAAACAAACCAACACTTCCAGGCTTCCATGTTGTCTTATCTTTTAAAATTAACTGGTATTTTAATGCAGTAAGCCTGTATAGGTACTGTATTATCAACACTCAGAGGGCACCAGTGCAGACTGTAAGTTTGTAAATGGATTTGTGTTTCAATAGTGGCCTTCTACTCAGTTGAACACTCAAAGCACTTTCTACTGTAGGGTCATTTATCTATGCCTAATTGCTTTCTAACATTCACACATACACACACTCTGATGGTTGAGTACCTTGCCCAAGTATGGCTCAGTCTGGGGACTGGAGGCCTCTGCCCTTTTAATTGGTAGACTACCACTCTACCTTTTGAGCAAGTCTTCCATAAACAAAGCTAAAGCTATATTAAAGAGGACCTCTTAGTTAATTAACTAATAAGTTCTTGGTTATAAATTATGTCTGTTATTATTAATCTCTGGTTACCCCCCTCATCTTTTGTCCCGTTTCCCTCCACTACACAATATAATGAACCTTAAGGCAACTGTTGTTGTGATTTGGTGGTATATAAAACTGAACTGAACTGAATTAGATTCAATATTCATAACACATATCATAACTGTTACAGTAGCAGATGGTCATACTAAACATGGGCAAAGTTTCAGATTCTCAGATCAGTATGTGTACAGCTATTGTAATCCAAAGACAGTTTTTCTTTTCAGATTTATTTTCTGTTCTTTAATTTTTATTATGCCAAATTATGATATCCATAATATGGTGAGTTCACTGTTGAGGCAAAGGAGCCACACCCACTTGCTTTTCAGAGCATCTGTTTGAGAGTGGGAGAAGAAAATTGGCTTAAAATTTAGAAAACTCAAATGTCCCGTTTATACCAGATAATGAACTGAGGTGTATCACAAAGGCCCAGTATAAGAAAAATACAGATTATTTGTAACTGTGAATCAAAGCAACAGTAGAGTCTAAGAGTAAAGCTATAGAGTTAGAAATAGGCAAGATTTAATTTCTGCTTCAAAATCTTTCATGTACAGCTTAGTACAAAGTACCAAAAGTAAATGTCAGTCATAACGTGTGCATATATCAATTAATAAGAAAATAATAATAATAAAATGTACATTCACTGTACATTTTAATATCATTTATTTCTTTATTGAGTATCTGTGTTTACTAAAATCAGTTTAGGTCTACTTGCTAAACATTAAAAAAATTACAGGACAAGGGGCAAAAGATTGAAATTTAAACTATGTGCTCTTTCTTAGCTTAGCGGAAATCTCACTTAACTGTCACATTTTTAAAATACTCACACTTACAATCGCCTCTGTGCAAAGGGTTTTATAATACAATTCAGTACAATACATAAAGCCACTGTTTTTTCATAACTGAATAACACTACATGGCTTCTGTGTTGATATCTGTCATAAGATATGTGGATACCAGTAGAGTGAAAAATCCCCAAAATATTGCCAAAGCTGTAACATATCATAATGATTGTATAGACACCAAATCTGACTCTTTACACTGATATAATGAAGATCAAAACAGTAGCTTTATAAACAACAGCACTCAGAGAGTGCAGGGCCCCCTGATGGACAAGGGCTATGCTAAAGCTTTGATGTTTTATGCTGTTTGTATTACTGCTGACGTCAGCCTGCTTTTGCTACAATATGATTACATCAGACTGTTATGGCGTCATTGTGATGTTGTAAGCTGTCACAGTGAAAAAAATAAAAACTGTGTTGTACAGCTCTCTCCATGACCATTCATAAAATATATTACTCAAAATTGTTTCTTCAGACAAACAGACAGCCGTACAGTACTCTCCCAGAACCATCTTGCTTTGAGGTTACAGTATCAACCATTGCAGCACCATGCTGTAATGACTCAAAGAGTTGAATCTGGTTCATAATTTATGATAGGAAAGGGAATCTGTTGTTTACTCACTCTATATGTTTACATTAACTAAAAAAAACAGAAAATTTAGTTGTTTATAGAGAAAACATGAGTGCATTGCATGCTTCCTCAAGCTCGGGTCCTCTGCCAGAGGCCTGGGAGTTTGAAGGTATTGCACAGCATCTTAGGTGTTCCTAGGACTTCACTCTTCTGAGCAGAGGCCTCTGATGTTGTGCCTGGAATCTACTGGAGCCACTCTTGAAGATTTGGGTTTATATTGTTTCCTCTGTATCAGTGTAGGGTCTTTACCTTACAATAAAAAGCGCCTTGAGGTAACTGTTTTTGTGATTTGGCGCTTTTCATGCTCCTGTTACCACTGGGGAGACTTTGGACTTAATCTTTCACATCTGCTCCACTTGTTTCTTCAGCCTCTGTGGATCTGGTGCTTAAGGCCTGTTCTGGTGCTGCTATTATCAGAGCCTCTGTGTTGCTCTTTAGGCCACAGCCTTTTTTTGTATTTTCTTCCACTAGTAATATTTCCTAATGTCAGCCACTTCCTCTGTTTGTGAATGGTACAATGATATGTCTTCCATGATAGTTCCTCCATCTCATCCAGCTACTTAAGACATTTTCGTAATAGCTCATCTCTGGGTCCATATTCCTGATATATTTGTGGATGCTCCATAATTCTCAAGGCAGTTGGCTGTAGCTGACCTTTAATTTTCATCATGATTCCCAATTGCCTGTAGGATACCCTGGTATTTGTAGCTGGTACCATTAGTGTGTATTCTGGCAATTCTTATCTAGTCCAAGTGACATCCTGATGTCCACAATAGAGATCCTGGTGAAGTGGATCAGTGAGTCGATGTCTTGCTTGCTTCTTGTGTACATCTTCAAATCATCCATGTACAGGAGGTAACTAGTAGTCACTCCACTCTTAAATCTATAAAATCCACACTTATTAAAGAGCTGGCTTCGGGGGTTGAAGCGTATTCAGAACAACGGCAAGGACAGGGCATCACCTTGTTATATTCTGCACTTGATGACAACTTGTGCAACTGCCCTGGAGTTGCCCTTAACCCTTTCATGCATGAAGTATGACAACCTCAATCAGAATTTTTTTCTTAAGAATTTGTATTCATCTTTAGGCATGTAAAGATGAATAAAATACTTTAAAAACAAAATCCTGATTGATTGTCATAATTCATGCATGACAGGGTTAAATAACAATAATTACAATGAAACACGTCATACATCTATAGTAACATTAAACGACCAGTGGGTGGCAGGGTATGGAGTGAGACATCAGTGTCCAATATAGTGGTTTATGTGCAAGTATACCATCAACACTGACGGAAATACAAGAAAACAGCCTTTGAATAGCTGTCCATTTGTTTGAATAGCTGTCCATTTGTTTGAATAACTGTCCATTTGTTGAACAACATAATTATATCCACTGTTGCCCAAATTTTTAAAGCTGCTTTGTTCCACTATAAGGTGTAATACCACCTGCTATGTCTACTTTGCTAATTCTGTTTATTCCAGCTTCTTTTATACTCAAAGTACTGAACTATAGAACATTTTCTTTCATGGTGCTCATGAAACATATGGCTGTTCATCTGTTCCAGTTAGTATTTCATTTAGTCCTAAATCCATATTTCCTGTTTTATGTTTCGGCCTGTTATTCTCATGTAATATGTACTCTCGCTGATTTTGGATTGATGTCTTTTTCTTTTTTTTAATGGGACATTCATCATATTCTAGCTTTGTTACTAAATGAAAACATTGTGGTTATAAAATTATTAGAGCCTCTAGAAATGACTATTTGATTTTGGATTATGAAATGACTGTGGACTGCTGATTTTTATAGGTGAAAGAATGACGAATAACCATAAATTCATTGTATCACTATTCTGTGTTTATGTGTTCAACTTTCATAAATCAACTTTGTCAACAAAAAACACTTCTTTAGTGTTTTGGACAGCTAATGTGAGCATTATTTGTTCTTACTTGAACAAGAAGTCTGTAAAAACCTCGTGTCCCAAAAATTCATTTACCTTTATTTAATTTTGTATTTGTATTTGTTTATTACTTATATTGATTAACTTCATGCAGTTGTAAAGTATACACCCCTTTGTTTCCATCTATTCACTCCCACTTATTCTATTCAGGGTCGAGGGGTGCTGGAAGATATTCATAACAGTCATATCCTTTTGAAATATCCCGTCGTTCCAAATTTTACCCACTGGGTTCACATCTTATTTCATAGTAAAATAAAAAATAGAACAATGAAAAAACGATGAAAATATTTTTTTTAAACGAACGATATCGATACTTTGCCTCTATATTTGAGGCATGCGCATATTTCTGTTTAATAAAAGAGAACCAAGAAGAGGTGTGAAAGGAACAAGAAGACGAAGAAGAAACAATTTTCATCGTCACTTCCTATCCAGACCTGGTCGGGTCACGTGATGTGGTATTAGCTCGATGACTCTGCTATGTTTATCGTTTGCGGAAACGTTGAAGAAATGTTGATTTTCACGCTTTTATCAGTTTACTGTCATCGGGGGATGCCGCGCGGCTGCTCAGGGACTCGTTTTTGTCGGCGCTGCCCGAAGAGTTTGACTTCGAAAACGGACGCTGTAGGCCTACACGTCACGTGACCAGCATGCGGCGGAGCGTTTGATAAAAAGATGGCGTGAGCGCGACGGAGCGGATAGGACAACAAGCCCCGAACTGCTGAGCGCTGCCGATCGCGAGCCGCAGCGGCCGTTCAACCACCAGGTGAGCATATCGGCGTGGGAACGCTTCGTTTTAACGCTAGCTCAACTTCTTCGCGAGGAAAATGTAAAAATGACGGTGTTGCGCTGATTGTTGAAGAATAAATTCCAAGTTCTCGATTTGAAGATAGCGGGTAGCTGGTCTGAACGCTCCTTGTTGCTAATGTTAGCTAGCAAAAGCCGCGACACAGTGGGGGAGAGTACAGTGAGTATCAAAACAATGTGAGGGGTCGA